TCTCCTTCTTTTGGTACAAGATTAGAACGTCTAGACAAGGCATCGGATAAACCTTGTTGTTTTTCTGGCCGATAAGTGATGATGAACTCGAATCTTGATAAAGATATGCTCCAACGAGCTTGGCGACGATTTAATACGCATGCTGACATAAAATATTCGAGGTTCTTGTGATCCGTATACACGGTGACTGAATTAGAAGCGCCTTCTAGATAATGACGCCTTTCTTGAAAAGAATCCACAATTACAAGAAGTTCTTTGTCGTGGATTTCATAATTGATTTCTGCTGCTGAGAATTTTCTTGAATGAAAGGCTACTGGATGAAGTTTGTCATTTGTTCCCATTTGTGATAAAACCACACCCAGAGCAAAGTCCGATGCATCTGTTTCCATAAAGAATGCTTTGAAAAAATCAACACGATACAAGATTGGTGCAGAAACAAACGTTATCTTCAAAGATTCAAAAGCAACCTCCGCTTCTTCATTCTATTGGAGTTTGTCTTTACAAGTCAAACGTGTAAGTGGAGCTGCAACTCGGGAGAAGTCTTTGATGAAGATCCGATAGTAGTTGGCAAATCCCAAAAAACATTGCACATCTTTTACCGTTTTTGGGATCTTCCAGTCTATAATAGTTTGAACTTTTTTAGGATCCATCATAAGTCCATCATTTGAAATGATGTAACCTAAGAAATTAACTTGAGTAGTGTGGAATACACACTTTTCTATCTTGGCATAGAGTCCTGCATCTCTTAATTTTTGTAACACACGACGAACATGAAGTTCATGTTCTTTTGGATTCTTAGAATAGATCAAGATGTCGTCCAGATAACATACCACAAAATCGTCCAAAAACTCTCGAAAAACATCATTAGATGTTGAAAAGGTGCTGGTGCATTTGTAAGTCCAAAAGGCATGACGTTGTATTCAAAATGTCCATACCTAGTTCGAAACGCAGTCTTCCATTCATCTCCTTCTTTGATGCGTACTAGATTGTATGCTCCCCGAAGATCTATTTTTGTATAGATCTTAGCTTGATTCAGCTGATCAAGAAGTTTGGATATTAAAGGTAGTGGATACCTATTTTTGATGGTAATCTTGTTGAGTCCTCGATAATCAACACACATCCGCAATGATCCATCTTTTTTCTTCACAAATTGAATTGGAGCTCCTGCCGGAGATTTAGAATGGCATATGAAATTCTTGGCTAGATTTTCTTCAATATACTCCTTGAGTTCAACCAACTCATTTTGTGATAAACTATAGATTGGTCCGAATGGCGGTTGTGCTCCTTCTTAAAGGTCAATTGAACAATCATAGGGACGATGTTCCGGGAGTGTATTGGCATTCTTTTTTTCAAATACATCTTGAAATTCTTGATATTGGCTTGGAATGCCACTTGAAGTCTTTTCACCAGTAGAAACAGGTGTAGCATAAATAATGTATGGTGATTCTTTCATAGCAGCATGCAAGAAAGCTTTTGCACCTATAAATACGAGTTTAATTGAACTTGACTTATGACTCTCTACTTGCTTAACTACACTGTTAGTTATACTTTTAGAGAAAGTAAGAGTTCGGGAAATCTAGTCTATTTGAGGGTTGTATTTTTTTAACCATGATAAATCTAAAATGACTGGATTAGAGGGAGATCTAATGATATTAAATACTACAAAACTATTATGAGTATTGATTATTACTTCTATAGGAAGGGTTTTGTGAGTAATATCTTCTGAAGACAATGGACGACCATCTATGACCTCTACATGTACAGGTTTAGTTTTCTTTACTAAAGATATGCTATGTCTTTTAGTAAATTCTTCATCTAAAAAACATGCTGAGGCTCCTGAATCTAACAAGGCAGAGACTTTGTAATGTTTAGGTCCTAAAATAACATTTAATGTAAAACAAGGAGAGGGCTTTGACGAGAGAATAGGACCTTTACTAGATATTGTGCAAGGTTCCAGCCGCATGGTCCCTATTGTAGCTGGACAAAGTCGTTTTCCGACATATTATCTTCTTTCACAGCCATACTCCTCATTTTGTGATTACGTCGTTTCTTTGGACAATGTTGAGTAGTGTGCTTTGGTTCTCCATAATATAAACATAATCCTTCTTGACGATGACGAGTCTTTTCTTGCTCAATAAGAGGTTTGAAACGTACTGCATCAATTTGCATATCCTCTACTTCTGAATGTATGTGTTGAAGAGATGTTGGTGTTGCCATTGAATTATAGTAACATTGAGGTCCACTTGTACGGTTCTCAGATCAGAATTCAAAAAGACGATTGTCACACTTTACAGCAAAGTCAATTGCTTGACTCAATGTTTGAGGATCAGGTAAGTTGAGCATTAATTTTTTTACCTCATATTGTAATCCGTAGAAAAATTGGCTAATAAGTGCAGCATCATCCCACTTGATATCAGTTGCAAGTTGTCAAAATTGTGAAGCATATAATGTTACTGATCGATTGTCTTGTCATAAAATACGGATCTTATTGGTTGCAACACGAATTGCATCATGTTCTCCATACATGGATCGAAACTCCACCAGAAAAGCCTCTAGATTATCCAATATTGGATCTCGTCGTTCAAGAAAAGATGAAAACCACGATAGTACCGAACCTGAAATAAGCATACCAATGAATCTAACTTGTGATTCTGGAGTTGGATAGCTTTGGGGTTGAAGTTCAATCACAAGTTGCACTTGATTGATAAATCCTCGAAACTTGGATCTGGTGCCATCAAACTTCTCAGGTAGGACAATTCTTGGTTCTCTAAAATTTGAAGGGCGTTCCAATATAGGAGAAAGGACATGGTTTGGTACAGATGTTGAAGTAGCTCCAACCATTTCTATATCTTCACTTCTTGCCAATCTTGTTGCTCCTTGTGGTGGTAAATTGAGTTAATGCATTGCAAGCATTAACTCCCTCAATTGCTCTTGCATTTGTGCCATTGCACTCTTTATTTCAAAAAGTTCTCCTATGATAATACTTAGAAGAGAGAAGATGTCTAATATCGCTCAAGATAAATAGAAGAGAGGACTTGCGGATAAAGAAAATACTAAGGACAATATCAGTTTAGAAGAAGGTAATCCGTAACTTCTAATACGCTTATATCTTATCAAGAAAAAAGGGATAATCCACTCTTAATCAAGATTAGACAAAGCTCTGATATTGTAGTTGTACTCTTGTCAATCTGTCAAGGACAAGAACTCGATGAGAAAACAATTTAGACAAGTGAGCCTTTACTCAAAGAGAGGTAACAAAATATACATAAACAAGTATATATATTGAAAGAGAAACTGGAATGGCTATTACCAAAAGACAAGAAAACTAAAGACCCTTGAAACTAGACTAGAAGCAAGAAAGGAGTTGACAAGAGTGAAGAAGCCTTCACTCTTGTCTCTATATATACTATCTAACTAGGGGCTACGTGGCGACGTTCTATAGGACCCCTAATATGTGTTGACTTTATAGGATACATGCCTTGACTTACAAGGCAAGTTTTTCTACGTGTGGGCCACATAGTTAGCTTGATCTTCAAGCTAACATGTGTGGCACATGGCCAACTTGTTGACCATGTTTCTAATCCAAAAAGTCAATTAAAGACACCTATGAAGTCAAAGCAGCGTCTAAGAAATTTCTAGGAAGCTTTCATATTAAATACTATAGAATTAAGTTACTTTTATCTACTTTTACTTACTTCTACCTATTTCTATATGTAATTATTAGCTTACATGATTATGGCCGTGACAGTCCCATATGGGTTGTAGCACCTTGAAGGTAGTTAGCACCTTGAATATTATATATGCTAAAATTTTCAAAAATGAAGAACATGAAACTAATACAAATCAATGAAAAAAATCGTGCTTTTATATACAAAACAAATTTTTAATGATATAAGATGTTATTAAAGTTATGTGTAGACTAAAGCTATTATTTAAAATTAAAGTTTGTTTTATATTTTGTATTTTGATATTTTAACAGTTTATTGAACAATTTAAACAGGTTAAGTATTAAATCTATCATGTTAATAAATTAAAGAATATTAATCTATATCAATATCTAAAAAGAAAATACAAAGTCATAATTAAAAATATTATACTATCAAGAATAATATAATATTTTTTTATAATTTAATTTTTAGAAAAGTATTATATATGAAAGGAATATCATAGAAAAATAAATTTACAAGAACCATATAATTTATATTAGAGAAATAAAGACTACTAGGTGTATTCACAAAAAGAAATGAAAAAAACTAGATCATAATAAATCATTAAAGAATTGTTATGCCAAAAATAATCAAAAATATATTATGCTTGGTAGAATATATACATATATATACATATATAGATTTAAATTTGTGTGTATTTAAATGTATTATGTATGTATAAGATTATCGCAAGTCTACTAAAATAAATTTTAAATTTTGAACTAAAATTTAGTAGATGGTTTTGTAAACAAATTGCATTTCTTTAGAAAACTATATTGTCATTGGATTAAAATGATGCTTTGAAGAAGAAAAATGGATTTGAGAACAAAATTAGAAAACATAAAAATAAATTTTAATTATTTTTTTTTAATTACAATGGTTTTTATTTTTATTTTTATTTTTTTGGTGTTGATGAGGCTATGAGTCCTTTCAATCTTCCAAACTCTTTAGAATTTTTGAGTCATTACATACACATTTAAAAATTATACCATACAACTGATTTGTAAAATCAATGGAAATAATTAGAATAGATACTATAAAGATTGCATATACAAATAAGGATCAAAATGTGAAAAATTTGTGTAAAATAATCAAGTCACAAAGGTTGTGAAGCAACAAATAATTCAACTATACTTGAGATTTTGAAATTAAGCTTCAAACAATTGGTTCTAAATAAACAAAGTGGTTGGTCAATGCAATTTCATCCCAATTATTTTCATCCATCCAAACAAACCCGAGCTCGTTGTCCAACATGAGACCAACTTGAAGTACGCAGGCACTTGAGAGGTGCTTTTAGGGTTTCGGTCGATTTTAGGATTTAGAATTGTTAGTTCTCAGGGATGAGTGTTGCGATTTCGATTGGAAACGATCACTTATGGATTCCTGAGCTGCAAGGAATACTTGCAAATCGCAGCTACAACAACTCTTCAATACGAAGATGCTGGATTTTTCGGCGTGCTAGGCCTTGCGATTGGTGCCCTAGCCTTCTATTCCCACCATTTTTGCGTGGTTTGTGTGCGCATCACCTCGCACATTGTTATTATTGCGATTGATTGGGTTGGCATTCTTGGTCTCATCACGTATCAGATTTGAATCCGTGGGATATCTTCGTGAATTTTGAACAAGAGTTGTGATTCGGCTGTAACCCTAATTGGTGACCAAGTCCTGAGGAAGGAGAAATTTGCTGGAGTTCGGACCATCGTGGAGCATGAGAATTAGGAGCTGGAGCAAGGATATGTGCAACGACATGTATATCCTCCTCACTGGGTTTTTTCAGCCGTAGTAGGCTGCATTCCATCACCATGGCAGGAGCATCTACTGACAATTGTATATCGTCATCCGCACTGTAAATTTATTGAAGGAATCAAATGCTTTTTTCCAGAACTGAACCCGATGCTGTACGTGCATGTGGAGCCGTTGCAGGTAATTTAGGAAACTGTGGCACGGGAGCCACTCGCCGCTCTTCTTGCGGAATGTTTGAGACAAAAGAGCATGGTGAATGACGACTAAATCTCCTCTTTCGGAAAGTTGTGAACAATTTCGAAGAAATCTGGTCCCCTTGGTCCTCGCTTTGCAATAGTGGTCGTGCAGCTTGCTCTTTACAGCAGGTTAGCTTCTTGTCCAACCCGTCGCAGTCAGATGCAGCTTTACGACGGTTGTTACCTGAAATTGAGGCAGACTCCATGTTTCATTATTGTATACGCAACTATTCGTATCTCTGTTAATTTCTATTATCTCAAATGCTTGATCGCATTCGGGGATTGGTCGTGACGGTCACCAGTTCCGATTCTGGCAGTTACTGCTCGCCGCTCCTCCCAATAGAGATGCTCTTCTTGTGATTCTCATTAAGCTGTGCCTTGTGAGCTTCCACATGAAACGCCCTTCTAATTGGGTACAACCATCTGAAACACAGGCTTCCAATCAATTTGGTGGAATTGACATGATTGACGACCTCATGAGCTCCGGAAAACCTCGAAAACCTCGGAAACAGCAGTGTTTTTAGCCTCGACGCCACTCACTGCAAATCTTATAACTGGAAAAACTGGTATCATGTTCATGATAAAAACCAGAAAACATGTTCTGTTTTCAGAGCAGCTGGTCAGAGGACATGAAACATAGTTTCAATTGTTCACTCATTTTCATGGGAGCATTATATATGTGTTTGTCATGACAAACTCGAAGATTATTATTTTCTACCTTTCGTAGTGGATATGGGCAACTTGAAAATATCTATTTGGCTGGAGTCCTACACTGAAATGCTTTTGCTGTAGTGCAAATACGTGATGCGTGCTCAAGTGCATGTTTAGTTCTACTTGGAATGATGAAAAGTAAAAGCCCCTTCAACCAAGCCTAGATTTTTTTAAGCCCTTTTTTTTTTTTTTTTTTTTTTTTTTTTGACACATCGAAGACTCACGGTATGAGAGGTTTCTCTTCCATGGACATCAGAAGTCCTGTGGGGGACGATGCACTGGAAGCAGAAAGAGCAGAGAAAAAAATAAATAAAACAGAAGAAGAATAACAATAGCAAAAGTTGCAAATGTTAACAAGATGCCATCCGCCTGAATTTCACCGCAAGTGCACAATCATGGCTGCAGTCAAACTACGGAGGTTTTTTTTTTTTTAGAGATGAGCAATTCTGTATTCTACTTCTGCCATGATTCGTTTGACCTCTAAATTCGAAGACTTTCTGGAACCTTTTCAAAGGAACTCTCAACGTACACAGCAGTTTTTGTAACACTTCTGGAATGGTTCACAGATCAAACTGTTGCGTACTTAACTGCAGATAGAGTCCAAGGAATGCGTTCTTTTTATGTGGATAAGGTGCTGGTACCAGTTCCATTCATCCCCCATGCGGCAGTCTCTGTCTCGACAGCACCCAGTTTGTTGTATATTTCCGTAAAGAAGAAGTGGTGATGTTGAACAAACGTTGCGTTCCGGGATCCAGTATTGAACAAGACAAATATGCACATTGAGTGTAAGTTTTGCATGCATGTGTGATAGTGGTACTGTTTACTTAAAATTTGTACGCTAGCCCAGATCCATGCGAATGATACCAAATGCATTCGATGGGTCATCCCGGAACATCACGCTTTACTCTTGAATCCCTGAACTTGGACAGGGCATATTCTGGGTACAGGAAACCTTCTTTAGATATTCGAAACGCTTTCATAAAAGGGACAAAACTGTTATAAATAGTATAATTAAGTAGCTACCTGCAGTTCCTCCGTTTCTGACTAAAATGAATCTAATGCAATTGCTGGAATAAGGTTGACTCAAACTAGTTGCATGTTGGGTGAATCCACACGATTCCCCTCCAAAATTGTTGAGTGCGCCTCTGTTTTATCAGACTGGTTGTGCAAATTCTGGTCTTGAATGCTCAATCTACTCCCTCAGTTGCTCAAACCAGTTCACTTGATCGTTGGGTGGAAACTGCAACATTAGCTTTGTTGTGAGAAGCCAATCCATCAATGTTCGGACAACCCATGAAGGTAAGAACTTCGATGGTAGTGAGAGCTGAACAAACATTGATCTTCCTCTTGTGTCGGGATGAGACTTCTCCATCCACCCTGACAAGGACTTGGAAATGACGCCAAGTGGATGGGACCTAAAAAGGCGTCGGCCAGATTTACTGCCAAGTGGAATCGGAGTTATCCTTCGGCGGGATTGTTTATTTATGAGGCGAACATTCATGCTATCTCTTATAATAGAAGGGGCACATACAACAATGAGTGCTCCAAGTTCGGGAGGTCGAAAACCTGAAAAAACTTGGTGCAACGCACAACACAGTGCTTTTGCCCTTCGATCTAGAATCCACGCAGCTCTCTTCCATACCCCTTTGCATCTGTTCAGATTCAGATGACAATGTAAGAGCCAGGCCTGACGCAAAGCCAATACAGCCACTCCAGGTTCCGGTTCACTCGGCCCGCCAGACGGCGGATGCCGCATATGAGTTGCATACCAACTTGCTCGTCGAGATCACATGCACCGACTTTCCAAACACCGGAGATTAGCCGACATCAGATATTAATGATCGATTGACGGGCAGCCAGTTCCGAAACAGTCAAGTAAAAATGGAAAATAACTGATTGAAGAGTCATGCAAACAACCAAGCTCACTGATATACACTGGTCTAGTTTTAGTGAACTGGAATTTATGGCAGAATGCATTTGCAGTGGCCAGTCGCATCGACGACGTGAAATCTGAAAGTGTGCGATTTTTCCTTTCAAAACTATCCAGTTCCGTGACAATGATATCTGTCCTTACTGGGTGCAGCTTTCGTCAGTCGAACCCTAAACGATCCAGCCAACCAAGACCTTGTACCGGATAACACCTTAATTTGGTCAAAAGAGGACTGTGGCTAGGATTGCCGCCCACTGCAGGGGAGCAGCAGACCCTGCCATGCGGCAAAAAGCGAAGGTTGTTCTTTCGCTTTACCTGCGTGAGCAATTTCCGCAGTCTGTAATCTGTAATGAATGCGCTCGTGCTGCGCATTCACTACTTGGGCAAGTACCGCGAGTAGTTATGTTCGTTCATGGTGATGCACTCGATTGCGTGGCACCTCAGAAAAAACTTTTGATGAATCCCTGGCCCCACATGTCAGATTGAGTTCAGACTGCCCTTGGATGCATCACGGTATCAGACTGCAAATGCACCAATTGGCGACACATAGCGAGAACGAGAAAGAGAGAGAGAGAGAGAGAGAGAGAGATGTTGGCAAATCTCGGTGAACGATCTGATCCACTCAAGATATACTCACAATGTAATGTTCCATCACTACCTCAAGTTAGTAACTGGAGGCATTCACGTAGTCCACCAGGTTTCTCACATCACAAAACACACACTCGATGTGTCGAAGCCACTCAAATTACGTCATTCAACCCGAAGCTCAGTTGTCTAGGTAGTAAGATTCAACCCTATCCGGTATTGCAGTTTCACAGCAGTTCGATCAGATCTGTTGTGAGTCTGGTAGCTCTGAATTTAACCTTGCGGCGGTGAGAGCGTGGGTTATCTAGCGATGGCGCCGACTAAATGGAACTCTGGTTTTCGGAACTCGTCTGCTCGGAGTTGGCAAACGAGTAATTTTTGACTGTGTGATTTTATTTTAATTTGTTAATTTGCTTGTTTCTTCTATTTTCTTTTCTTTTCCTGAATAGTTCGAACTCATCGCTCTTTGCATAATGAAAATGTCGTCCCTGGTATTCTGTGAGTGCGTTGTGTGGATTGATACCACCGACAATAGTAGAGTGCTCGTTTCCCATACCTAGAATCTGGAAATACTTCCAGTGATTTCAACGGGTGCATCGACAGAATCCGGTTAATTGTAATGTTGAGAAAAATAGTGCTCGCTTGCAAGTTTGGTTTAGATTTAGATCTGATTGTGAAATCTAGAGAAGATTTGTAGCTATGTTGAGAGAAGTTGTAATGAAGTGCATGTGGAGGAATTCTTGTTGATGCTGTTTGGAAGATTTTATTAACATTAATCGTTAATGTTGTTGTTGTTCATTTTTTCTTTTTTTTAATTTATTAGAGAATTGATCATTCTACATCTCCAATGTATACCACATAACCTCCACATGACTTGAATTGGCTAAACAATTGGCAGCTTAATAATTAACCCCAATATGAACTAATAGAATAAATTGAAAAATAAGTTTTTGGTGTATTTTTAAAGCCAAATAAATCAAAATTATTATTACTAATTTGAATTAAACAATTTTTGAAGAAAATATTATGTTTATAAAAAAATAGCTTGCAATCCATTTCTTTATAAAATATTCAATGTCTCCCTTTCATCCTTGACTCTTTCTTCAAGCAAAGAAAGGAAAAAATGCACAAACGAAAGAGGCATATTATTAGCTAGTTGTCTCTAAGGAAGTCACGTAGAGTGGGGTGATATCAATGGGGAATATAGAATTTACAATTCTTTATCTATTTATAATTATTTTTTGTTCACTTAAATGATATGATCAAAATAAATTAGTTTAATAACTTTAAAAAACATGGATTTTAACTAAGTATATATAAAAAATTGCAACTCTTTTAAATAAATTTGGTTTTTTGTAATTATTTAAAGATTAAGATTAAAGATGTGTAATTTTTTCTAAAATAATTTTTATAAGGAATTCATTTCTTATTTAATCAAAATACATTTTTTTCTCTCTTTTTCTCTTTCTATACATATTTCTCTCAAAATATTAAAATATATAGATAACACAATAATTTTGTTTTTAAATTATTTTCTCATTGTAACTTGTCCTTATCAATATGTTCTTTTATTGTTCTATTTGTTTATGAAAAATAAATATGATATGCATTTGAATATTTAAAAACTATAAGGAAATGACTTGAACTTATATTTGGAAATATATAAGAAATGTATTTTGAATAGATAAAATACATACATATTTGTGTATATATAAATATATATATATATATATATATATATATATACATTCTAATTTATAATTCTATAAGTATTCAACACTATTCTACATATTTTATTTTTTCATATAAAAAAAGAAAACAAGAGATCATACCACATTTTAAAATAATTAAGTAAAATAAAAAATCAGAAAAAATATCAAATTTAATACCAAATCCAACATAATATCTAAATTGCTCCAAATTTTATGTTGGCAATACTTACATGCTGTCAAGGACAAGAACATGATAAAGACAAATAAACAAGTGAGACTTCTCTCAAAGAAAGATGACAAAATATAAATAACTTGATATATATATTAAAAAAGAAACTGGAATGGCTATTGCCAAAAGCCAAGAAAACTAGAGACCCTTGAAACTAGACTAGAAGCAAGAAAAGAATTGACAAGAGTGAAGAAGGCTTCACTCTTGTCTCTATATATATACTATCTAACTAGGGGTTACGTGGCGACGTTCTATAGGACCTCCAATATGTGTTGACTTTGTAGGACACATGCCTTGACTTACAAGGTAAGTTTTTCTATATGTGGGCCACATAGGTAGCTTGGTCTTTAAGCTAACAATATGTGTGAAACATGACCAACTTGTTGACCACGTTTCTAATCCAAAAAGTCAATTAAAGATACCTATAAACTCAAAGCAGCATCTATAAAGCTTCTAGGAAGCTTTTATATCAAATACTATAGAATTAACTTATTTTTATCTACTTTTATTTACTTCTACCTATTTATATATGTAATTATTGGCTTACATGTGTATGTCCGTAACATTATCTCCCATTCTAGGGACAAGTTCCACGAGGAGCAGGAATCATATGTAGAGGAAATCTATGATGCGATAAATTGTATTCGCCACATACGCTGATCTTTATTCTCTTTAAAGATGATTGGTAGGGCCTCTCAACCA